ATGGGGAACAAACATTTAAGGGTGAAAAATATAAATGATCACAGATAGTCACAATTAACACATAAAAGACTACAAATAGTCACAATTAAGGGAAAAATGGTCATGAGAAGTCATTTTTCACTTATTGGATCACAAAACGTTGTTAACACAGCCATAAGTCTTTATGATGCTGGTCACATATAGCCAAAGTTAAGATAGATTAGGTCACATATAATCACATTTAAAAAAGATCTGATTACAAACAGTCACATTTAGGAATATCTGGTCATATACAATTAAAGTTAAGATAAATTTGATTACAGACAATCACACTAATAATATGTGACCAATAAATAATATGTGATTCAATAAATTGTATGCTTTGCCATTAAATTTGTAGTTGTGATCCACAAATTTTGTTTTGTGTAATTTATGACTAATATATGACCGTGACCATAAGTTATGCTTGATTGTGATCGTGACTTGAGTAATTAAATTTTAGATCATAACTTTTTTAATAGGAATCAAGAAATGTGACCAAATTTTTATTGAGAGTCGCAAACTGTGGCTACCTAATTTTTGTAGGTTACATAAGAATCACAAATCCACTTATGATCATTTATCAAGGGTCACAAAATGAGCTGTGAAGTGGATTCGTGATAGTCAAATACGTTGTGACCTATACATTTTATGATTTGTGATCGTGAAATGACTTATATATTTTGTGATTTGTGATTGAGAAACAAGTCATTACCAATTATTGAATAATCATGACCAACAAAATGAGTAATTTGTGACCAATGAATAATATATGACCTAAAACATGTGATTGTGACTTAAATTTTAATTGTGCTTTACAATTTGTGATTGATAAATAAATAATACGTTACATAAAAATGTATGATTTTATGACTAAATTTGTAATTGTGATCTACAAATTGTGATTTCGTGACCAATAGATAGGTTGTGATCAATTAATCTAATAATTAGTGATCGAGAAATAACTTGTGACAATTAATTTGATAATTCTAACTTATAAGTTCTATTATTTATGATCGAAAAATAAGTCATGTCAATTTTTGGTAATTTTGACCAATTATTGGGTAATCATGACTAATAAAATAAGTCATTTATGACCAATAAATAATACACGACTCTAAAATACGTTATTGTGGCATATCATTTGTGTTTTTGTGATCGATAATAAGTTGTTTTCAAGAAATTAGAAATTTGTGATCGTACAATGAGTAGTGACCAATTAATTTGGTAAGTTGTGACCAATAAAATAAATTATTACATATAAAAATGTGTAACTTAAGACTAAATTTATAATTATGACATACAAATTGTTTCTTTGTGACTGTGACCTTATATAGTTTGCGACTAGTATGTGACCATAGTTATAAAATATGTGTAATTATATCATTGTCCATTTAATTAAATTAGATATCACATTTGTGACCTTGGATAAATGGTTTGACATGTAATTGAAATTGAACAAGCCATAATCATATGCCACACAATTTATGGATTGCAATCACATACTATATCACAATTACACAAGGTCACAGTCATGTACAACACAATTTATGAGTCAAAATCAAATATAATTTCACAAATTAAATAATTTATATGTCTCAAGTAATTTATAATTACAAAATATACAATTAATCGGTCATGGTCACTAAAATTTCTATTAATCACATATCACACAATTTCTCTCGAATTCCAACTCCAATCTCAACAACAAATCACATAATTTCTGTTATTCACAAACCATACTATTTTCCTCGACATGAATTTCATCAATTCTATCATAAAATTCATCAATTTCTGGGCACAATTTTCATTAGTTACACCTCATATCATATTATTTAATCAAAAAATCTAAATCCCAAAAGAACGACAATGGGTTTGCTTTTTTAGAAGTTTATCAAACAATTAAAAAAGCAAACCCATATGCTACCTATATGCATATACAAGTAATTGACAAACACAGACAGCCCTTATTTCCCAAATGGGATTGACAAAAAATTTCCAAAATACTGTTCAATTGATTTTGCTTGATTTTCGTCTCCATTTATCAATATAGTCCTTCCATCAACCATTCAGTCTACAAAACTTATCACTTCGCCTAAATTCTTAGATAGCAATAATCTTCTACAGGCTACGTAAATTATAATCAACCATAAGCAACGATAGATTATTACCAAAGAAAAAGGCTCTT